GCAAAAGTGGTATTTTTTTAAAGGTTAGTAACAAAGTGATATCTGAAACCTTATCAACGAACTTTTGATACTCTGTTACATTAATATGCACTGGTCTATTTGAACTTTAAATGAATCTTGTGATATTAAACACTGGTCATTTGGAAAATATTGGTTCAGTGAGTTATGCAATGTTCCAAATGTTGACATATGGCAGTATACAATATAAAAAAATCACAACTGTTAATATCACCACCAATCTTTAAGCACCGGAAAGCTGTGAAGTTCAGAGTGGCAGATACATGATTTCCAAAATTCTATTTTTTGCTTGAAAACTCAAATGTTGTCATCAGTGACAAATACTGTCAGTTGTTTTCCTTGAAGTGACAGGATAGCATTCATTTTGAGAAAGTGTGTCTATCAAATACCACGTCTGAATATTGATTGTTGTCTTTTGTTCAAGTAAAAATGCATTTCACAATAAAAGGAGCTAATTCAGCTTGCAACTCCGTCACGTGTTTTACTGGGAGATAACTGTTAGCACTTTGGTATGCCACAGAAGTGCTTTATGCATTTACCATTTCATCACAAGTAAACAGTAAAAGAATATGTAACAAAATGTTACGGTTCAATAAAATTATTTTCTATTGTTTCATGAATGAGATTTATAAGTGAACCTGATACTTCTATTTTTTTACTTCATGTGTGTGGCAGTGAAGGCTACAATGACCACTAGTATAGTCTGGAGCCACTTGATTTATGCTAAGGTGCCAGAAATGTTACTCACCATCACTTCTGTACTACTAGCGCAAGTAGGAATACAATGAATAATGCCTTATTACGATTATAAAAATAGTTTTGACTCCCTGAAAGGGTCATGGGGAGGGAACCCCCACAGGGTTCCATGAACTACACTTTAAGAACCACTGATCTAGATCAAGGAAGAGGACAGGATAGTTTGAAAGAAAAATTTGGCAATTTTGGAGAAGTCTTTTAGGAGTAGCAGTAGTAGACGGTCGGGAATTGGGTAGAGAATATAGATTCATCTCATATTTGCTGTCAAAACAGATGATATATTCTGGCCAAAACCATGAAAAATATGATTAAGAACGACAGCATGTAATTTAGAGCCAATTGTTACACCAAACACATTAATTTGTATTAGATCAGATTTTTCTTATATATTATTACTATTTTTATCAATCATGATTTAGTCTTTGGACAAAGTGAGGAAACACTGAACTTTGTTACAATGGAGTCCAAAGTGAGCCTTTTTTGTGAGGCAAATTAAAACTTCCTTCAAACTGTAAGATTAATTTATTAATAAATATTTATGGAAGTATCAAGCAAATGCTTTAGGTAATAATGCAGCTGAAGGATTCAGCCTGTCACAAGGGTAAGAAAAGAGCATTTTAAAATAGTATAAAGCAATAACTTATTACTATTTTTTGAGTCAGAGTCCTGCTCTGTCGCTCAGGCTGCGGTGCAGTGGCGCAATCACAGCTTACTACAGCCTCAACCTCCCAGGTTCAAGTGATCCTATGGCCTTGGCTCCCCAAAGTGTTGGGATTACAGGCGCGAGCCACTATGTCTGGCCAAAGAATTCTTTAGTATGAAAAAAAAAAAAGCAATTTAGGATAGACATTAGGGAACTGGCTGTGTACTAGCTGACTAATCAAAGCTACTGCTTTCGCATTATGAAAAGCTGATTGATACAAAGCACTTTGAATTCACTTCAAGTAATCTATACTACGCATTGCTTAAACCAACTTAATATACAAAGTAAAACATGATCTCCATTTTTTAAATGTATATATACCATTAAGCTCTAATATTAAATTGAGTGTTTAAGGAGTTATCTGAATATGCTATTATTGTTGGCTAGAAGATAAAGTTAACACTTTTATCCTCATGAACAACAGGATGAGCTTGATACAAAATTTCAGGTATGCCAGAAGACAGTAGGTGTAGAATTTGCCAGTGTGTAAAAAGCCAATAACAATGAATGTGGTCTAGGCCAGGCACAGTGGCTAACGCCTGCAATCTCAGCACTCTGAGAGGCCGAGGCCAGTGGATCACTTGAGATCAGGAGTTCAAGACCAGCCTGAGCATCATGGTGAAACCATGACTCTACTAAAAATACAAAAATTAGCCAGGTGTGGTGGTGCACGTCTATAATCCCAGCTACTCGGGAGGCTGAGGCAGGAGAATCACTTGAGTCCAGGAGGCAGAGGCTGCGGTGAGCTGAGATTATGCCTCTGCATTTCAGCCTGGGCAACAGAGTGAGACTCCGTCTCAAAACAAAACAACAACAACAACAACAAAACCAAAAACAACCAATGAAATGCACGTGGTGTTAACCTACATGGAGAACTGATGAGACATGGTATCAAGCAGAGAATACAGAATACATCTGCTCAAAAGAACTGCTCCTGTGTTCCGGAGGGATGAAGTGTTGCAATTAGGTATTTTTTATACATGAGATCTTAATGTTGTAAAATATTTTTATTTATTTTTTAAAACAAAATAGAGCTGCCTTGCTTACTTTCTCCTCATTCTTTTGTCTCTCACATTTAAAATAGTATACTAGAAAGAAAACACAGCATTTATAAGGTAGTGAGTTAACATAAAATGAGCAGCTATTTTACCTTAGGGTGATGGGCCCTGTGTCTGCGGTCTATTGTCACATCTCCTCTCTGAATTGGTGAAGACACTTCCGATCTGTAAGTTCGTTGAGGGGAGTATCCCTGATAAGCAGCTATTGACCCGTGGGATGGTGATGTGGGAATAGAGTGCATTGTCTGGTCAGAAATATTTACCATGGTTTTGGGACTACTCAAAGTACTGTGTCGAGGGAGGGTGCTCTGTTTATTATAAAACTGACGCTGCTGCCATTCGTAGAGCTGCCACATTGTGTCATCTCTCATGGACCTCCGTTTCTCCTCCGCTCCGGGTCCTAACGTCTTGTCATGAGTGGAAGGGGCTACACTGCAGATACTTTCAGGCCTTGTCTTGCTGTTTCTTGGGAGTGTTCTATAACCTTCAGGGTAGCGGGCCATAATCTGGGCTCTGTGGCTTGGCATATTTCTTGGTAATGTTTGGTAAGAAATTACTCTAAAATAAAAAAATAATTAAAATGTAAACATGAAGAAGAGTTATTTTCCAAATTCTAAATTAGAGTACATTTCTTTTGTTTCAGTAAGTAAAACATATACTAGAATTTTTTTTTTTTGGAGATGGAGTCTCGCTCTGTCACCCAGTCTGGAGTGCAATGGTGCGATCTTGGCTCACTGCAACCTCCGCCTCCCAGGCTCAAGCAATTCTCCCGCCTCAGCCTCCCAAGTAACTGGGATTCCAGGCGTCTACCACCATGCCCGGCTGATCTTGAATTCCTGACTTCAGGTAATTCACCTGCCTCGGCCTCCCAAAGTGCTGGGATTACAGGCATGAGCCATCGTGCCCGGCTTAGAATGTATTTTTTTTAAAGATTGAAATATTATACAAGATATACACTATTAATAGATTTTAATCTTTTTATGAAATTCAATTTAACAAATTTAACACAGGATAAACAGCATCTATATCAATTACACAAAATATTATTAGTTCCACACAATGTACAGTTTGATTTAAAGATGAAAGACTATTATACTTCGTTTGAGAAATAAGAATGTTTAAAATCTAATCTCAATTCTGTCTCTGTATTTTATTTGTTCTTATATAAATAAAGTCTCATTTTCATACATCTCATCAGAGCACTA